TACACTCTCTTCCCAGGCTCTGCTGGAAAGATTCCTGGCTTTGGGACCCTGACAAGTCACTCAAATCCTCCTCTCAAATGGGAACAGTGCCACCCACTGCCTCCTAGATGGCTGGAGATCAAGTGAGCTTCCACAGAAAGGCAGTGTCCAACCCATAGTGGGAACTCAACTTTGTCCTCTTCAGTTAAAACCTGCATATAAATCCAGACAAACCTTCACTGGGAATCTAGGCAAAGAGAAATGAGATACTCACCTGACATGCTCACCAGATCGGCAAACACCAAAACCAGACTAGAGCACCTTCATCTTTCATCACATTTAGATACCCTGATCACTGAGAATTTGTAAAATGTGCATTGAGAAACTAACTCAAAGTTAGCTTTGACAGATTCTAATATTTGGCATATTTTGAAAAATGAAGCTGACATTAAATTACAATCAAATGTTCTGACAAATTGAAGTAGTTAACTCCTTCAATACAGTATAAAGAAATGAATACCTCATGACTTCATAAGTATTTCTAGTGCTAGAGTTTGTCTTTTTCCTCCCAGTCAGTAAGTGTGCTAAAACTCCAGAAGCAGAGGTTGTACCCTACATTTTAAATACAAGCTTAGGGACCATCTGAAAATGAGAAAATCCCTCATACACAGGCACAGTGTTTCTAGTATGCAAAGACTTGCAGAAACGTATTTTCAGCAAATTCTCTGACCCTATGAGCCTTGATAGTAGTGATTTTCATCTATCCAGTATTTGCTTAGATATCTATTACTAAGCAAGAGGCTTAGTAATAGATACTACTACTACTTCCAAGAGGCTTCAAGTTTAGTGGGAAAGATAGCATTTAGAGACAGGACAGTGTAGAGGGGCAGCCAGGTGGCAGGTGGGCAGGGGAGCTGGGAGGCAAGCGGGTACGCAACCAAACCTCCCAGCCCCCCACAAATCTTTATACTCTTTTTCTGGTTTCTCTGGCATTCTTACTCCACAGTCTCATGGCCTCACCTCCCCAGCAGTCAGGCCGCTGTGTTGCTCACTACCGCCTTCGATCCACACCAGTGGACTCAGGTGTGCACCCTCATGCTCCAGGTGGGCACAGTCAGGCATGCATGCCACCCTCATGCTCCAGGTGGGCACAGTCAGGCATGTGTGCCCCGTGCCTGCGCTCCCAAGTGCCTTCTGCATTAACACCATCATGGCCACAGGTGTAGCCACAGAGACTGGTGGCAGAAAAAGCCTGATTAATTCACTTACCCTGCACACAGCGTTTGGAGAGGGGCGAATAGGGTGCTGTGAGAAATGAGAAACTCTCCCTGAGTCAGATCAAGAGATGCTTGCAAGCTAGGGGCCTATGAGAAGTGTGGAAAATAAAACTATTACCATACAGACATGGTGAATACTTTTGAGAAAACAGCTCAGCAGAGAGCTGGAGTACCTCGGAGAAGCAGTTTTACACAGAGCATCAGAAGTTTTCTCAAGAGGGAACATTTTAGTGCAGACATGGGGGAGGAGAGTCCCGAATCATGGGTGAGGTGAGGGACCCCAGGTAAACCATCAGCCAAAACCTCACAAGTTCAAGTTGGCTGCACTCAAAAACCAGAAAGGAGGTCTGTGTGGCTGGAGCACAATGAAAGAAATGTGAGGTCGTGCATGAGAAGCAGGCCCAGATCATACAGACTCTGTGGGCTCTGGCAAGCAATTCAGATTTACTCCAAGCGCAAGAACAGGTTTAAAATCCTTAAAGTATTTTAAAGGAGGCAGTAGTGACATTGTTTCATTTACATTTCAGAAGGATAACTCTGGACCCACTATGAGGAATGAATTATTGGTGTCAGGAGTAAGATGCTACTAGTTAGGAGCTAGGTGAGACTGGGTTCTTTGGATTAGGGTGGTAGCTGTGGAGGTCAACAATGGTTGGATCTGGGGTAGGTCTTGACAGGACCGCATATGGCCTCCAGTGGCCTGCAGATGGAGTGTGGGAACAGAAGTAAAGCAGGATAGCTAGTAGGGTGCCAAAGGCCGAGGGACCTGCAGCAGGTATTTGAAATATGAATCCCTCACTCTTCATGACTGCACTTTCTTGGCTTCAACTGCCCCAAAACTTGATGACAGTTTAGATGCACAATGGAACCAGTGGACGGCGACAACTGGAACACACTATGGCATGAAGAGGCCTGGAAAGAGGTGAGGGAGAGTATAAAGATGACCCAACTGCAGTCAGGCAAACAGCCCAGGGAAACATGGCTCCCAGTGGCAATGGAGGCCCATGTTGGCAGGTCCAGCGAAGAATTCATGCAAGTGATGAATGGCCATCGAAGCCGGAAGGAAGCACAAGAAGGGGAAAATGTTCCAAGAAATTTTCTTTGCTAAGGTTCCCTCACCTGTGAATGAAAAAGGCTATGTCACGCTGTGATGAGAAAGCAGCTGTTTGGAGATGCTGCGTAGGTCTTTTACAGTATAAGCTTACTCTGGGTAGAGTCTGGGAATTCAGACAAAGACTTACGCTGACAATCCTGCCCCAAAGTGCGACATTTGCTGCAGCTTTTTATTTAAGAGTTGAGCCACGAACAGCGACCTCTGCCCCAGTCACCTTTCAAGTAATAGGTAGTTGCTAGTCCTTCTCTATCTTCTACTCACTTGTGAGCTGGAGATGAGGGCTGCCTTTCACCAACCTCACTACACCCTCCTCCTGGCACCTGTAAGTAATACATTTTGTAACTTCAAAAAGTTTGAAAAGGGTAACATTTTTTTACTTTTCTAACCACTTTATCTTTTGTATTAATTTATATATCTATTTACATTATTGCTCATTTTTAAATGTTTACATCCCCTTCCCCTGCCAATTCACCCATGCATTATCGCTACAGTTCCCCACATGCCTCCCTCCCTTCTTCTGATCCTTCTCCCTCCCCCTCCCTTGTAGGATCTCTCTGGTTTATATCGTGTTTGTTTTGTTTTGTACTATAACAATTTTTTTTCCCTATGTCTTATTTGGTTCTCTTATATTTCTCCTCTAAGTTAAATCATTTTTTTTTTCTGGCTTATTTCACTGAGCATGACCCCTTCTAGCTGCATCCATGTTGCTGCATATGGTGTATTTATCTTTTTTATTTTTCAACAGTATTCCATTTTGTAGATATACTAAATCTTCTTGACCCATTTATCTAATTTTGGGCATTTGGGTTATTTCCATATTTTACCTATTGTAACTAGTGCTGCAATAAAAATAGGGGTGCATGTATCCTTTTGAATTGTTTTTCTGCCCTTTGGGTAGTTCCCTAGGAGTAGAATTGCTGGGTCATATGGTAGCTCCATTTTTAGTAGTCTGAGGAATCTCCATACAGCTTTCCATAATGGTTGTACCAGTTTGCATTCCCCCCAGCAATGTAGTTCCTTTTTCACTGCATCCTTGCCAACATTTGTTCTTACTTATTTTTTGATACGTGCCACCTGGTGTGAGGTGGTATCTCACTGTGGTTTTGATTTCCATTTCCCTGATTCTAAGGGTGTTAAACATTTTTTTCATATGCCTGTTGTTGGCCATTTGCAATTCTTCTTTGGAGAAGTGTCTTTTAAGTTCTGCCCATTTCTTAACTGGATTGTTTGCTTTGTTTTTGTTGATTCATGTGAGCTCTTTGTATATCTTTGTGATCAGTCCCTTATCCCTTGTATGGAGAACAAAGACTATTCCCCAGTCAGTAGGGTGTCTCCGTCTTGGTTAATGTCTCGTTTGCTCTGCAGAAGCATGGATAGGAAAACTTGTAGCAATTGGCAAACCCAAATAGGATGCAGTCTTGACATGGAATTTTAGCAAGAGGGAGAATCAAGAGTGCTCTCTTGGGGATGTTCAACACAAAATACTTGGACATTCAAGTCAAGATCTCCCATCAGCAGTCAGGGATCAAAGAAGCTCCAAGAGGAGGGCCACATTAGAAATTACTGTAGGTACCACTGGCAGAGACATGCTATTAGAACCCTGTGAATCAAATGGAATATTCTAGGGAAGAGTATGCTGTGTAAGAAAGCCCACCTTAAAGCCCAAGTTTCCGTCAGAAGAGGAATAGTGGAAAGACAAAGCAGTGACAAGCAAGTTGGAGCGAAACTAGGGAGTGTCAGGTCCTAGAAGCCAAAAGGGGAAAAGGAAGAGACCTACTATGCAAAATGATGCTCAGGGAGCTCAAGAATAAGAGAACACTTTCATGGAGTGGGGGGAAGTGGGGCTGATATGGGGAAGAAGAGGATGGGAGGTAGGAATTGGAAACAGCCAGTATAGACAACTATTGCCAGAAATGTTTGGGTGAAGAAAAGCCAGTATTTGGAACAGTCAGAGGCACATGAAATGAAGTGTACTTTTGCTCAACAGGGAGGAAAAACAAGATGTTAGTATGGATAGAGTAGATCCACTGGGGAAGAGTTGCTGGCACCTCACCTTACAGCTGGCAAATCTGCTCCACTTCACCTTTTTGTCCCTATTTATACCTTCCAGCTCTTCTGATGGATCTATTTCCTACGATCCTCATATGTTGGCCTCTTCAGGGGCCCAAACCCTGAATTCCGCTCTTCTCTTCTTCCATGCCCCCCTTGGTAGAGCTCATCGACTCTCTACATTTTCCAGTGCCCCCTACTACTGTACAGTGAGTTTTGTCTCCTCAGAAATGTGGCTGAACATTTCCATTGGCTTGTCCATAGTCACCACACCCCAAAACTAGCTGCTTTCCCTCCCCAGTTCTCTCTCAAGTTTTGAGCAAGAGAGGGCTATTGTCAGGGTTCAGCAGCAAGGCCCCTTTAATCACTACCAGATAGACTGTGCACATGACCAGCCCAAATGGCGAGCAAATGGCTACTAAGACAGTAAATAACCAGTGCATGGGGCTAGTAGTAAACCCAACACACCAAGCCAGTCACTGCCCCTCTGAAACCCACACCTTTACCACATACTTCCCTTAAGTTAGTTACTTTATTTTCAACATGTATCATAAAATCTTTGTCTATAATTATTCATATTTAAGTCAGCAAGAAGTATCCCCCATGATAAGTATTAATGTGAGATCTAGCAAAGTGGTTTATTCTTACAAGTTATGGCTAGAAAAAGTCCTTCTAACAAACCTGTGTAGTAATATCCCTGAGAGAAGTACCAGATTTCTTAACAAGTACTTTTAGTATGTCTCAGCTTTATAATTTTTATATGTTCATGTTTTTAAAGAGCTGCTACTCCAGTTGATAGTAAACTCTTTGGTGTTTATTTCCAAGTTTGTGATTTTATAAGAGGTTACTTTAGGGTTGTGAATTGTTTCACTGTCTTTTCACTCTCTCGTTTTAGTTCTTCAATATGGGCATCCAGGCGCTCTAGAATATGATGAGACCTCAGTTCCTCCTCTTCCAAAAATCTTGTAGCTACTGAACCAAGAGGAGACACAGGCAAGGGACACTAGAAGAAAAATGAAATTTGACATAAGTAAATTGAAAGCATATCTAAGACATATTATTCATGATATTTTATAACTTGAATTACTTAACTTTTTTTTTTTTTAAAGATTTATTTATTTATTCATACAGAACTGGGGTACAGGCCAGAGATGTGGAGGGTGAGAGGATTCACCAGAGAGAGTGGGGAGCAGAACAGGCAGATCGACGAAGTACACTGCTGAGGGGAGCAGTGGGCGAGTCAGGAGAAGTCTGCCGCGCCATGTGGTCACCTCCGGGGCAGGCGGGAATCGAACTCATGTGGAAGTGGCTTTAGATTCTCAGTGCTGTGCTTTAACCCGCTGCGCCACCAGGGAGGGCCCACTTTTTTTTTTTTAAAGATTTATTTATTTATTCATACAGAACTGGGGTACAGGCCAGAGATGTGGAGGGTGAGAGGATTCACCAGAGAGAGTGGGGAGCAGAACAGGCAGATCGACGAAGTACACTGCTGAGGGGAGCAGCGGGCGGTCAGGAGAGGTCTGCCACGCCATGTGGTCACCTCCGGGACAGGCGGGAATCGAACTCATGTGGAAGTGGCTTTAGTTTCTCAGTGCTGTGTTTCAACCCGCTGCACCACCAGAGAGGGCCTGAACTACTAAACTTTTTAAACACTTTTCCCTCTGAAGTGAGGTTTCTCTGTTTTTATCCTAATAATAACAGTAGAAGAAAAATGTAAGTTCTGCAAAAATTAACATGGATCTCTTCCTTTCTGACTCAAGTTGTGAAATGTAAAGTGTCATATAAATAAGAGCTATTTTGTTACTGGCCTGAGAAACACCTCTATTTTGATACTTCTATGCTCCAAAGATACTAGTTAAAATCATTATTTTCCCTCTTCTAAAATGTCAGCCCACAGTCTCCTTTTGAAATTCTTGGGGTAAATGCTATTTTAGAATTCAGATTTCAGAAGGATAACATAAGCTATACTATATACATACATACATACACACACATATATATACATACATACATACATATACATATACATATATATACATATACATACATACATACATATACATATACATATATATACATATACATACATACATACATACATATATATATATATATATAGTCAATCCTCACTTGCAGCGTTTTCTATTAAGTCACCTCAAAACACTGAATTAGTGTATACAGAAGCAATGCCCTTAGGAGAATCAGCCTCTCTTTCTTTGATTGTCATCCTTAAAAACAGTTCATCCTGGCAGATCTGATTTAGTTCACAAAGAGAAAAGAGGTTCAGAAGTGTTTTGTGACTTTTCTGAGGCTTCCCAAGGTAAACTGCAGTCCCAATTCTGTTCCATGCCTGAGAGCCTGGGTTTCGTGCACCACACTGCCCTGCCCCCACCAGCTCCATCCTCTGGTCACCTGTGTGTGGAAGCTGACACGAGGGGGCTGAGCCCAGCTGACCCCAGCTAGCCAGGGGCAAGCCTACTGACTCAAACTCCTCACAGCTCTGCACAGGGCCGTGAATGGCTACGGATATGCTGCAAGTACTGGTTGGGGTTACACAGGAGTTAGTGGGGTGCTAACTCACAAACACAGAATCCAGGACTCATGAAGATCAAGTGTATCACATTAGCGGAAGCTCAGTTACCATCCCATAGTTAACCACACTGGTCCCCTCTGAGTAAAAAATGCTAAGTGGGATAAATAAAGTCTATCCTTATTGTCACCTCAGTTCAGTTCAGGTCAGGTTTAGTGCCAAATAATTGTCGCTAAACTCAGGAAGAAAGTTAATTTTTAGGATTTCTTTGGACCTCAGAGTGAGATGTGAGTGAAAGGGGACTTACTTTGAAAACTAAAGGAAACCTTTTCATGGCCTTGTTGATATAGTAAGTCCAAAATACTGCACTTCTGCAAGTACAGGGACATGTAAGGATGGTAGGAAATAATAAGCCCATGTAAGTGCTCTGGTGCCAAAGGTGAAAAAGATGGGGAGCCTGCCTGGAAGCTGCAGGAACAGAGCCTTGGGCAACCTGTGCCCAGGGCCGTGGTCAGTGTGGCACCACGCCCTATCCTGGACGTGCTGGATGCAGTTCCATTCTCCACCTTCACCCACCCACTCTTCTTAAACAGTTGCTATTTTCCTTCACCATCTATGCATCAGAACTGTTCTGGCATTGAGACATAGTCCCTGAACCAACCATTCCAATACAAAAATGACCTTTTTGGAAAAATGCTGGCAGGGAATTTGTAACTAGGGTTAAAGAAAAATAAATACCTGTCAGTTACGTTCTGTTTCAGAGCTAAGATAGTTAGAAAAGTAGTTGCTGTAATCATCACAAGCAAAACCAAGAGAAATACATGAGAATAATCGAGAGAGTCTGTACAGTATGGTAAGAAAGCAAAACCATCACCCTCCCCACCCTTACAGTATAAAATAAAAACAAACTTTATAAACTAGTAGTATCATTAAGTTTCCATACCGAAAATATAAACTCTTCTTGGTCATTTACACTCTCAGAGCCAGTGTCAGAAAAGTTGGCTTCATTTGTATCTGGCACTGAAGGCAAAGAGTGAGCTTTACTCTGAAAGTTGGAAGGCAAAGAGATGGTAGAGCTGTAAGTACTGATCTGAGGACTCAGGGGGGTGAGGACCCTGATCATGGGTTCTATACTATCCGAAGCTTGTCCTCTTGGAGAGCGAAGATCTGTTTTGTAGCGCTCAGTATTTATTCCTTCATGTCTGTGTTGGCCATGGGTTGGACTGGATAGCAGATTAGAAAACAAAACATAAAAAAAGTATCAACTTCCCTCTTTCCTAACAGAAACGCTGTACTTCACTTACAAACAGGCTAACTAGAACAGCTACATTTATAAAATGAGCAGCCCACTTAGCCCAAGGGTTATTTCATTCATTCAGCCCCCAAATATTCATTCCCACTGCCAGACCAGCGCCCTCACACGCTCACAATACAGCCAGGAAAACAGCCAAGCTGTCCCTGCAATCTCATGCAGTTAGTGCTGGGGATCTGTGCCCAGCCTTCATTTGTGCGCACTGTACTTCAGAACTAGAGAGTCCTCTGATGAATATTTAACTGGAAACTATTTCCAAAGAAAGGAGAATTCTACTGCCATGATACACATTTTAAGAAGGGTACTGAACTTCATCTGGGTGGGGAGTTGGCGTGTGGGTCAGCAAAGGCTTTTCCTAGGAAAACCTGTAAGTCAGAGTCAGAGTAGAGCCAGCTGCTTCTTCACTGAATGTTGACTTCTAACGGCAACAGCCTATAACTAAGTGACCAAAAATACAAAGAAAGCTTTTTATAATAAAACTTCTACTAGTTATGGGGCATGTTGGGCTGGGGAAGTGGAAGGCAGCACTGGAATAAAGCTCAGTGGAATAAGGACAGTGTCCATACACCCAGAGTGTCTAACGCAGACCTGAAAGGAGCTTCACCTGTACGCACTGTATTTCAGACTTAGTCCTCTGATGAAGATTTAATTGGAAATTATTGTCCAAAAAAGGAGAATTCTATTACAATGATACACATTTTAGATATTTTGCAAAGAAATTTTACTTGAAATCTGCGTTCTTGAACTCTGATGCTCTGCTGTGTGTCAGCTTAAAGACTCTGTCATGGGTTTTTTTGCACATGTGAGTAGAAATCTCCAGCTTAGATTTAGTATCCATCAAATCTTTCTGTAGTTGTTGATTTTCAGACACTAATTTACTTAATGTCTCAATATAATTCTCCTGGAAGTCTGCTATTGAAATCTCTTTTGCCTAATAAAAAGAATACTAGAGTTACTTAATTTGCATAAGTATACTTGTGATCTGTGATACTACTGGTAGGAAATTACATTTATTTACTTTTCTTCAGTTGTAATTATTTCATCTACAGCTTTACTTTGCTTTTTCAAGATTTGTTTTGGGGCCTCTTGTTTTCTAAAAACAGGTTTATTTATTTATTTATGCATACAAGAATTGGAGTATAGGACAGCAGTGTGTGTGTGGGTGGGGGGGGTGTTGGTTGTGGTGGGTGGGGGTGGGTGGGGGGGGTGTTGGGGTTGGGGTGGGGGTGAGAGGATTCACAGAGACAGAGTGGGGAACAGAACAGGCAGATCTAGGGCAGAGGGGAGCAGCGGGCGGACAGGAGAGGTCTGCTACACCACGTGGGTCACCTCCATGGCTAGGGATTGAACTCATGTGGCTGGTGGCAGTCTGAGTGCTGCATCATCAACCCCTGAGCCACCAAAGAGACCCTGTTTTGGGGCCCCTTGATACTAAGAAAAAGTGTTCCCTTTCTTAAAGTAAATGGGAATGGAAAGTTCAAAGCACAGTAAGTTTCCCTATTGTGGCAAGAAATAAATATTCAAGGAGCTGGAGAAAGGATGGAACTAGGTTGGAGAAAAGTTATGAGTGAGAATGGGGGTTGAGGGGAGAAGGAAGCAGCAGCCATGAGTGGTTCTTCAGGAAAGAGAAAACTGACTAGTACCCAGCAGCAACCAGAACACCTGTGGAAGTAAATCAAGTCCAACTTCAAAGAAAGAAATGTGAATAGGAGCTTGTGAAAAGGAGTTCACTTGGTGGGACCAAGTTTTAAATAAATATTCTTTGGTTTTAAATACTGTCATGTAACACTCGCACCATTTCTGTGTGTGAAATTAATCTGGACATGTTAAAGCATTATCAAGTACAAGGTGAGAATTACTTTTCTGTGATCCTAAATTTCGTTGTTCTTCAATTTAAGGTATTTTCCAGTAAAACAGTGCCTGAAAAAACAGAGTCTGGACCATATTTTTCTAATGACAAAGTATTTGAATTAGCATTCTGAAAAATTATAGAAATCTTCTTAGGAGTTTAGTATGTTATTTAGCTTGGTCTTTTTTGTACAGAATTCTCTGTAAAGTGATCAAGAATGGTTTGACAGATTTATTTAATAAAACAAACTTTAAAATATAGCTACCTATCTGCAGTGATCAGTTACAAAGCATTTTAACAAGTTGTCAGTGCCAGATAAAATCTCAAAAACAAAACAAAACAAAAAACCCATTTGAGGTTATATAAAGTTAAATTGCAGACATCTGTCAGTAACAGGGTAAATTATTTTATCAGAGTTTTTGCTTTTGTTATTGAGATAATCTAATTTCAAAACAACATTGAAACCAAGATTTAATCTGACAGTAATTCCATCTTGCTAGATGGTAAAATGCAAAAAGGCACTTTCTAATAGTTTTCCTTAATAACAAACAGTATAACATGGTCACACTGTAACTTCAAAACCAAAGGAAGTTTACACTACTGACAGGATTTCCACTAGTCAAGAGTTTGAGATGTCTGATATCATTAAATACACTTTTTTAAAAAGATAATGACTGCCTTTGCCAGGCATCTTTTAACTTTTTCTCCAATTTACTATTCTATTAACAACTATTACACTATTACAAATACATGAGTATGAAGATAATACAAAACCTGCATAACAAACACACACCTAGCTATGTAAAGAAAGGGCAGTTTTATCCCTGTTAGATGGAGGTTTCAGACGAAATTAAGCTGAACAGAATCTCTGGTCAGAGAAAAGCATAAGGACCCCTGAGAGTTACCAACTCTTAAATATGAACAAATAATTACTGCACAAGTTAAGATTCTATTAGGGTTTGCCACAGACCCAGGATTTCTGGTACAAATCAAATTGGTGGAACCACTGTTTCTACTACTAGTTCATACTGCCTTTATTAGAACATACAAAGTCACTTCCCTCCTCCCTCGTCTTTCCCTTCCATTCATCCACCTACCCATCTTTCAAAATGCTTAGCTAGTGTGTGTTTCCTTTTCCTTTTCCTAGTTCTGTCATCCTTGTACTTAAAAAAAAGTCCTTTTATTTCTTAAGGGATTTGGAGAAGGCACAAGATTAAATGTATACTTTTATCTGCCATTTTAAATAACAGAATGACATTTCATAGTGCAGAAAGTCACAAATTTACAAATCTATAACCCGACATTTAGTTTATTTCAAAATTTTGGATATTGCAAACAGTGATGTGACCATTTTTATACATTTGCTCCTAGGATGCATTCTTTGGGAATGAAAACTGTTACATTTCTGGAGAACTACTCAGCAACAACTACCAAAATCAGAAAAACACATGACCCAGAGTTTAGGCCACGTATATTTGTATTTGATGGGCATTGTTAAACTGTTATTTGAAAGGTGGTATCAATTTATTTTCTCATTTAGTAGAGCCTAAGAGTGCCCGTTTCCCTATAATCCTCCTTCCCTATAATCCAGCACTGGCTCTATTAGTTTTTTAAAAATCACTGTAAATACAACTGGCAAAAGATTATTTGCTTACTTTGTTTTGATTATTAGGGAGGTTAAACCGCTTTCTTTGCTCACTAGATTTTTTTTATTTTTATGAATTACCTACTATGCTTTATCCACTTTTCTATGGTTTATCTTTTTATCATCTTCATAGGAAATCTCATGTTAATATTTTATATTAACCTTTTGTCTGTTTATAGAATGTTTTCCCTCACTTTATTAGTCTTTTTTTTGCCATCCAGAAATTTTACATTTTTATGGTATAAAATTCTTTGTTTTTTACGATACTTACAGAGAATCTCACCCTTCCAAAAGATTATAAACTAGTTCCCTATATTTTCTTTTATTTGAAATAATATATTCATCTACTGTTCTGTACTTTCTCTCACCTCAGTCTCAAAAAATTCCTGACTGTAAAATTAAACTGCTTATGAGTGACAGGGACATTGTATTAACTATGCATCTTTAGAGGCACACACTTTTTGGAAGGACAGAAAGAAAGAAAGAATTTTTACAACCCTGGGGCATTAGACATATACCAAGAAAAGATGGAGCCAAATAGATAGGTTCTTCAGCAAATTATGAGAAGTTTACAGCAAAATAATTAAAAGTATTTATGATTCACTGTGAACTAGTGAAGCTCTCTCTGGTTTCACAGCATACATTTCTTAGCTCCCTGCTATGCTACTCTCAGTCCTTAAGGCAAGAACCCTACCTTAGCTATCCTGTCTCTATGACATTGTCTACTAAAATGCCCTAAACATGAAAGATTCAGAAGTTCTTGTCTTTCTAACTTGTAGAAATATAATTAAAACTAGGTTACTTAAAAGATACACTTTGTAGTGAAAATATATTGAAAACATAATAATTATAACAGCATCTAAAATGTACTTTGTGCTTACTTTAGCCAGGCTCTATACTAAACCCATCATATACATTCTCCCTATTGAGAAACAGACTGTACATGTATCATTGTCATGTACATAACACAAAAATTATCTTTCATTTGCTATCTTGACTTTTCTTGAGAGATTTTCTGCAGAAGAATTATTCCACTGTTTGACCTTAACTCTATCTTTAAAATAACTGTCTTTATAAGGTGATTCTTTAAAGGTTTAGGTAGAAGAAAAACAACTACTTATATACCTCGTGTAAACCCAATTCCAATTTCATCACCATTTCAGAAAGACGATGATTTTCTAATTTGAGTGACTCCAGTTGATCCAAGATCTCCTGAGAAGGGAAAATAATAACAAGAAAAAAAACATAATAAGTAAATCAAACTCAAAATTTTCCCAATGTAATTTTCATTAGGTGAGGTTACATTTTTCATTCATTCATATATACATATATATATATATACACATATATAAATACTTTCTTAAAAGATTTCTGAAGGCATTTCAAGAGGGATTAACACACATGTAATTAAAGTATTATTAAAGGTGAGTCAGTTTCCGGTGAATCCCTAACCCCTCTCCCCTAGTGTGGCTTCTACTTCCATCAAGTGGAATGTACTCCATTCACAAAGCAATCATTTATTTTCAGTTCTCATTCTCTCTTGTTTCTCTACTTGACCATTCCTACCTGAAAAGATTCTTGTTCTCCCAGGGTTTTGCTTCCTCAATAAAAACTATCTGGCTCCTTCTTTACTGCTACTTAATTTTTCAGCCCCAGTCTAACACCTTCTTACCCAAAATGAGGAGTGTCCTAAGACTGAGCTCAAGCCCCTGCTCTTCATACTCCATGCTTTCTCATGATGAAGTCGAAGTTTCTCAGGGTGTTTCAAATGCCACATTCATGCAAAGAATTCAAAGTCGAAGTTTCTCAGGGTGTTTCAAATGCCACATTCATGCAAAGAATTCAACAGCTAAATGTCTTACTCTGCTCTTAAACCTGAACTCTAGGTCTCCTAAAGAATCGACTATTAGATATTCCCATATGAAAGTCCAGTTTTTATTTCAATTCAAATGTGTTAATCCATCTTCCCTATTTTGTTTACTTGCATAGAAATTCATTATCTTCCCCAAGCTGCTGCCTAACTTTTCTCTACTAAAGAGCCTCAGGCTCCATTTAGTTGCCCAAACTTACATCCTGATTAACATCTTTCTTTTGCTCTAATTCACTCTCCCTGTCTAGCCAAATAGGAAGTGCAGTCAGTTTTGCTAGCCAACTATCTCTAAAATTCATCCATTTCCTCCTCCCCCCACCTGCCCACCACTGTACTTCTGAAGCAGCAGGTGCTTCCTCACTTATTCCCATATGATAGCCATTAGGAATTTCTACTCCTGCCCAAGTCATTCTCTACTGACCTCAAGATAACAGCTCGTCCCTGCTTCCTAGTCTCATCCGCTGGCACTCACCCCACCTGGACTCTGGTTTGTCACTGTGAACATGTCACACTTTCACCACACACCACAGAAGCAGTCTCTATTGTATTCTCACCTCCACACCCATCCACAGTGGCACCCTTAGCCCAAAGCAGATGGCTAAAAATGTACTGAATTAAATAACATAGACACTGTATCTTTAATAAATTCAATCCCAAAAACAAACTTCAAATAAAAAGTTTTTGTTCAAGCTTCACCTTATGCTCTACTGCTTTTTCTTCTGCCTTTTCTATTTCTGCTTTGAGTCGCTTTTCCAGGTCAGAGGAGGAACTTTTGGCAGAAGCAATAGTGATATCTCGTTGATGTAACTCCCGAGTTAGCTGGGAGATCTCCAACTTCATTCCTTCTAGCGCAGAACTATAGCTCTGGTCAGTCTGTAAAATCTGTTCTTTCAGCTACAAAGACATAGAAAGGCAAAAAATTCCAAAAATTAAGAGACAGCAGGTTGACAGAAAATATATGATAGTTAAGATAATGGCAGTTTTACCTTCTTGCCTCAAGACATGCATTTTTTCCTAAATTAAATGTGCAGGAAACTGGCACTTTACCAAGTTGCACAGCTGTATTAAAGGTCAGGTAGACAGACCCACAGCCTTTCATTAGAATTCAAAACAGAAGAAGATGATTATTCTCCACTGTGGAAAACCAGTGCCAACATCCAGGTTTACAGTATTTAGATGATAGCACCTGAGACCATCATTCTTTTTTCTGTTGTAAAATCTAAAAAGTTTGTTTACATGCCTTTTTGGTCTACAGAAGATAACAGACAGGCCAGAGGAAAAAAATGTGAAGAAATCTCAAAGACATTATGAAAAATGTGAGTCAACAAACAGGACAATTAGGATCCATTAGAGCAGAGACAAAAGTTCTGCAAACCTTAATAGTTGATGAGGGTACTAACTACACCACAACAGGAGAATGTATACCCATATTCATCACTAGTCAAATGAGAAAATATTAACGTTAGCTCATATGAAAGCAAGAAAGTGCATCTTAGACATCAAACCATGATTAAAATAAGGTTTAGGAGTTCAAAAGGGGCAAGCTTCACTTATGTTGCAAATATGTACTTGGCATACCAGAGAATGCCAAAGAAAAAAGAGGCTTGGCCATAGCACATTCCAAGTGCTCGTCTACTCCTGAGTATCAAGTGGCCCTTTGGGCTATAATTGTCTCTTGTTAAAAAAGACTCCCATAACTTTCCAATCCATAGCCCAATTCATAAATACACATAACTTTGAAATCCCAGGCATGAAGATTTTTACCTTCTTAATCTCTGCCCTATATTCATTGTTATGTATTTCCATCTTCTTTAATTCTTCATATTTTTCCATTAGTTCTTGGCTCAGCTGTTTACATGTGGCACCCACAGATTCTAAGCTATAAAACAAAAAAAAAGACCACATAGTTAAGACAAAATAAAACCCTGAAGCCCACAAATTAAATTATTTAACTTATCTTCTTAATGTATACATTAAAATTCATTTTCAATTCCCTCATCACCAGAGGCAGATAAATTCAATTCAAACATCTGGAAAAACTATTGATTTCTGTGTTTGCTTATATCTTTACCTCTGCTTACAACAGGTTACAATATTGTAAAATTAACAGTGATTTAGCTAATTTATTCTCTCTAATTGTACAGAAGCTGCCATCACAACCTCAGTCTTCGTCACACTTAATTACAATTCCAGCCTACATATAGCTGCCACAATAATCTTCTTTAAAGAGTTTCCCACTTGTCACCCTTGCTTAAGAATTAATCCCTCTTCAGCTGCAAGATCCTCAGGGGCACCAAACCCCTCTTATCTCACACTGCTTATTTCTACTAATAAAATCTTTTCACTTCTAAATCAATAGGCTTTACTGTCATATGCCATTTTCTTTGCTTGACTCTTATCTCTTGATATACCATCACCTTGACCACAAAGCACCTTCCTCTCCTCTCCTGGGAAAGGATGGTCAACAACCATTCAAAAATCAGATGAGCATTCACCTGCTAGTCACCCCACCCTTCCCCCCCCGCCACCTTAAATAGTTTGTTTTTAATGTTTATAGTTGAGTGAAGAAATTTCTAGAACTTTCTACTTTGAATTGTTCTAGGGCTCTTTAACATGTATATTTTGTCACTCAAACCACAAATTCTGTGAATAAAATATTTTTTATCTATTTCCCTCCCACCTTGCTTACCATGTTTTAGTCTCACATCATGTGGTTCTAAACTGCTCAAGAAATGCTTAAATAAATACACCTAAACTGTTTCCCCAACACAGCTAACTTTCAGATAAGCTATCATTCAAAAATATCATCTTGACACTACAGCAATGCAAAAATATTTAAGTTTCTCCTGTTCCTGTTTTAGGAAATATATTGTTTAAACTGAATAACACAAAAAACACTTTCTTAAAGGGTTCCTTTTTGATTAGCCTTTTGATAACAAGAAGAATAATTTTTAAAGTCACTATTTTATTAAGGAACACTGGTGTTCATATTTAACCCAACAACACTTACTTTTTAAATTCCTAGAATCTCATGTATTTGTTCCTTAGTATGTGATTACAATGTGTCAAAACATGAGGGAGAGAGAGCAGACTAGTTAGAAGTGATCTTGTCCTAACAGCAAACAGGAGGACTGGGGCCTAAAGCAGCTGAAGTGTACAAGTCACAGTTGAGTCAGAAACAATCTTCAGAATCCTCATGGGAGTACAGAGACACATGTAAAAGATTACTGAAAGCCAATCAGTGGAAAATCCATGATAAAAATGTTTTAGTTCTGTAAAAAAGCATACACTTTATTTTATTCACCTTAAAGTGTACACATCTACCTCAATAATAATAACCAAGAATACCCTATGTATTCTAAAGTAAAAAAGCAAAAATGTGGGGGTGCATATATACTTAATATGTAAAGAACATACTTAGTGATTTAAAGAACAGAAATGAAAGTAAAAACAAAAATATGTTATTACTTAAAGATAAACTAAAGAGGATAAAAATGGCAAATATTTTTGTTGCTTGCACTAAAAGCTAAGAGTTTATGCATTTTTATCTTTTATATACAGAAAATGTTAGTGTAAGAGTGACCATGATTCATATTTAAAACAAAATATCAAACTCTTTCCAGTTAAGAAGGTTACAGACATGACAGACAAAAATGATCCTGAACTATGCTGACAGTATACGTGAAAGGTTGTGTATCTCATAAGTCAGGAGTTCATAAGTCAGGGCAGAAGGACAAAGTAGCACATGTCCAATTCCAGTGAGGAAGGTGTTATCGGGAAGAACCTAATTGAAGGCATTTGTACAGGTGAAAGCGGAGAGTATAGTCAGCATAGACAACTCTTTGGAAGAATCTGGTTTTGAAAAAGAGCAATAATTATGGAAGAAAACTTAATAGGGATATAGGGTTAAAGGAGAGATTTAGTATTTCTCCCTCGAGATGGGAAATACTAAATCATATTTGAAACCAGTGAAAATGACTTAGAAAAAGAAGAAAAGCCAGAAAAACAATACATGAGTGGAGGCCAAGAGTCTTACAGACATGTAATCTGACAACTGACCCAATGTAACAGAAGATCTGCCGATGCAGGCAGAGTGGTCAACATGGGAGTAGGATAAGAAGTAGTCCTTTAACTGCTTCTGTTTTCTCATTGAAGTAAGAAGTTACACCATTTGTAGAAGCTAGAGAAAAATAGTTATTTTTTCACTAAGACTAATTAGTTTTCTAATATGATCAAAAATTACTTGTAATACCTTGAATATTTGTTTGTATGCCTACCTGCCTTCCAGACGAGTCACCTCTGCCTGCAGAAGTTCTTCACTAGTGTGGGTAAAATCCAGCTGGGACAATACATTTTCTAAGCTACCCTGCCCTTGAGCAGTGTATTTCCTTTCTGCCTGAGACTCCTCCAGTGACCTATGGAGGGATACAAGAAGACAGTTAAAGGTTTTTTATCTTTGCAAACGGAAACAATACACAACCAGTTTATATATTTCCCAACTGTTTTTTAATGAAATCTTTGGAAGCCTTTAGCTTCTTGCTTACTCTACAAAAAAGAACACTGGGAAAGTAAAAAGGTAAAAGATGATGCTTCTCAAAAAAATCAACAACAGTTGATTTTTTTGCCTCCTCAACTGGACTTTGGCCTGCTTTCAAAAGAGAAGGATAAAATGACAAAAATCACTTTGTTGACACTTGGTAAGTAGAGGTAAAAGAAACTAAAAAGTTACAGGAGAGTTCTGGCAAGAATAAAAATGTGCATTTGACCAAAAAAAAAAAAAAAAGGAACATACTGATACCTTTTACACCAAACCTCATAGCAATAATTTGTATGTAGAAATAAAATTAGTCTGGCAATTTTTTAATAAAGGGCTATCTCAACACATGGCTGTTACAGATGATATGCAGCTACGAATCATGAGCTTTTCTATCAAGTATGACAGGCCTTCCAGGAGATGGGGATTACCATTCACATACGAAGATTCACCAATGGTCCAGACTGAACAAGGGAATTCTAACTTTCTAAATATCACTCTCTTGGTTAGAGATACAATTGGAAGTAGAAATAAACCAACCATTCATCATTTGACCCTGTACCTCTAAATCATATACAATATTATACATTATACAAATTTGATCCTGTACTTGTAAATCACATACAAGATTGTAAATCAATATCACATCAATAAAAATAAAAAATTAAGTCAAAAAACAACTCAATAATTAAAAGTGAATAAGAAAATCTATAATGATCAAACACAAAATTATGATTATGCAATAGTGAAACTGCTACTTAATGTCAAACTACCAAATGTTTAGGATTAATAATATTTAACATTAGATATATATACCTTATTATGTCTACTGTGTGTTGAGTATCTGTTTTTAATTTAGCTTGTAGCTTCTCCTTTTGCACTCTTGCCTCACGGGTGAAATTTTCTTGAGACTGAAGAGCTGCCTTTAGTTCTCTCTTTTCTTCCTGCAGAACCTACAAAATATTCAGAAAAATGTCAGAATTTCTTTCCATTTATCTATTTCATGAGAAAAGGAAGCAAGAGAGTCAGATTGTAAGTTATGTAATGGGCACACTATAAAAAGCTTATTAATAGCTGATCCACTGGCTGCAGATTAGGGTAGAAAACACAGATTCTGGAACCTAATTCTAGGCCAATTAATTTCTCCTGAAACACTCATATATAGATTTCCCCAACTGTAGTAATTTTTTTTTTAAAGATTTATTTATTTATTCATACATAACTGGGGTACAGGCCAGAGATGCGGAGGGTGAGAGGATTCACCAGAGACAGAGTAGGGAGCAGAACAGGCAGATTGACGAAGTACACTGCTGAAGGGAGCAGTGGGCGGGTCAGGAGAGGTCTGCCACGCCATGTGGTCACCTCCGGGGCAGGCGGGAATCGAACTCATGCGGAAGTGGCTTAAGCTTCTTAGTGCTGTGCTTTAACCCGCTGCGCCACCAGGGAGGGCCCCCAACTGTAGTAATTTTAAAGCACACCTCTAACAGTTTTTCTGATTCCCTCAATTTTTCTTCTTTTTGCTGCTGATCATGCATAACAGTCATATTAGTTCCAACCAAGTCATTGACCCTCATGGTGAGGCGTTCTATTTCCAATTCATTGGCACAGATAGTATCATTGGCCCGCTGTAGCTTACTGCTCAAGTGTTGAATTTCTGACTGGCTAGATAGCTCCACAGACTCTAATTTCTGTTTCCGATTGGCAAGCTGAGCCTTAAAACACAAATAGGTAAAGTGAAATAAGAATAATGAATGAATAAGGAAACTGGGTTGTACTTCCATAAAACATTAATTATCTTATTAAAATATATATAATAATCCATCAATGATATAACCTAAACAGAAAGGAGAAGTTTCTCAACTTAGTAAAAATATCTACAAAAGCCCTATAACTAGCATCATGAAATTAAAGTTTTCCAATAAGATAGATATAAGGTAAGGATATCTCTTACTGTTCCATTTCAACATCACAGTAGAGTCCTTGAGTCCAATAAGGCAAGAAAAGGAACTAAAAGGTAATCAAATAAAACTGTCTTTGTTCACAAATAATATAATATAATCATCTATGTAGAAAATCTGTAAAACCCACCAAAAAAGACTTGTGAAATTAATAAGCATTTTCAACAAGATTGTGGGATACAAGGTTAATATCTAAAAGTTAATCTCTTATATACCAACAGTGAACTTCTGGAATTAGAAATTATAAACACAATACCATTTATATTAATTGAAAAGATGGAATATCTAAGTACAAATCTAAAAAATGTATACAGATCTTTGAGGTAAACTACAAAGCTTACATAAATAAAAAGGTATTACTTGTTCATTGTTAGAAGACTCAGTATCATCAAGATCAGTTCTTTCTAATGCACTGAACAGATTCAACACAATACCAACCAAAATCCCAGGAAGTAATTTTATAGATATTGATAAACTGATATTAAAGTTTATATGAAAGTAGCAAAAGACCAAAATAGTCAACACAATATTGAATGCAAAAAATAAGGCTGAATGACTCTCTCTCTTCATAAACTGCTATGAAGTTACACCATTGAGACAGTGGCAAAATGAATAGACAAATAGATAAATGGAACAGAATAAAGAACCTAGAAGTAGACTCCATGAATAGAGAAAACTGATTTTTTTTTTTTGCTTCTCAAGACATTTATTGTTATCACTTTTTTTTTAGCAATAAAGCTCTAATAGATATTCATATCACCTGTCCCCATCGTCACACTACTCCATCAGTGTGGATGAGGTAAAATTGCATATGAAAAATTTCTGACATTGTAGTCTTTGCTACCGAATCCAATTTTTTTTTATTTTAAAACAGTTTACTTTTACATCATTTTGTACATTTTTTTCCCATCTCAATTGTATAGAAAACTGATTTTTTTATAAAGGAGCAAAGGCAACACAATGGAGCAATGACAGTCTCTGGAACAAATGGCAATGGGATAACTGAACACCTACATGCAAGAAAAATGAATCTACACAGAACTTACAACCTTCATAAAAATTAACTTCAAATAAGGTTCCTCAAACTGCTAAACACGGAGCTTCCCTACAACCCGGCAATCCCACTCCTAGGTTTCTACCCAAAAGACACAAAAATACTGATTGAAAAAGATACCTGCACCCCCATGTTTATTGCTGCTTTATTTACAATTGGAAAAACATGGAAGCAGCCCAAATGCCCAAAAGTAGATGACTGGATTAAAAAGATGTGGTACATATATACAATGGAATATTACTCAGCAACCAAAAAAGAGAAATACATGTCTTTTGCAGCAACTTGGATGGAGCTGGAAAAGATCATGCTTAGCGAGATAAACCAGAAAGAGAAAGAAAAATACCGGATGGTTTCACTCATAGCAGGAGTATAATGGACCAGGCGAGAAAATAACAAAAATAATGAACCACCATATACCAGAGACATTTTGTGGGGGTGGAGTGGGGAATGGGATCAAAAATGGGGGTGGGGGGAGGGAGGGAAATGCACGGGATTATGGTGATGGCACACGGGTGACTTGGTGATGGGAAACTCGTGGGGATTATAATTGAGATGGAAAAAAAATTGTACAAAACGATATAAAAATAAACTGTTATAAAATTTAAAAAAAAAATGAAGAAAAAAAAATTAACTCCAAATAGATCATAGCTCTAAATACAGAATGCAAAGGTATAAAACTCCTATACTATAATAGAAAACCTAGATGACCATGAATATGGAGAAAATTTTTTAAATACAACACTGCAGGTATGTTCCTTGAAAGAAATAAATTGATAGACTGAAAAGTAAATTAAAAACTTCTGCTTGTCAATGTCAAGAGAATGAGAAGGCAAGACAGACTGGGGAAAAATATCTGTACAAGACATACCTGATAAAGACTATTATACAAAAATTAATAAACACAATTCAACAAAAAGAAAAAAACTCTATTAGGAAAAGGGGATTTTACATTGAGGGTGGGACCAGGTGATTGAGGAACAGTGAAATTTTGTTCTTTAAGGAAAGTCATGCTTAGAAGAAGGAAGGATTGGTTCTGTCAACAACTGAAAATTTAGTCAAACATAGTGCATCTCAAATTAGTTTCATTCAATGATATACCTACTGAGGTACACACAAATAGAATAGTTTAGTAGCTATCTCATAGACCTGTAGAATATAGTTCCTACAGACTCAGATAAGTTTTAGGCTATTCTAGCTATACTGGTCTTTAGCTACCAACTCCAGCTTTCACAAATTCTAATCCAACATCTGGACATTGAATAGGGACATAAGCAACTGTAAGTAAAACTGTTACAGGGCCTCCACCTGGGCCATGCTGCCTGCATGGCAGGGCATGGCATCTTTGTTGATGCTGATACATGCTGCTCAGCCCACCTGCAGGCAGCCCCTGACACAGCCCCATTGCAAGTGGGCCTCTAGCAGCTGGCCCCAATATTCAACATCTGCAGGCAACCCCAAATTCACTCCAACAGAAGGTAATATTGGTTTTTCACCCCACAGTAAGCAAACCCTGGGGCTCTGGCAGCAGAGATGATCCCCAAACCCTGTAGCTCCTGGTTCAGAGCCACACGAGGAACACTGGGCCCCACTGGGACAGCTTCAGTCCTATGATTTCCTGAAGCTGAAGGGAGGGGGGCAGCCCAACAGGCTGGACTACCAGCAATAGCCTTCTCTGCATCCCCTGGGACTCATCAAATGGACCAATTAAATACAAAGTCCAATGGACCAATCAGGTCCAAGCCCTCCAGATTCATTCAAGCCTTTGAGTTCATTACACAACCTGAAAATGGAGCCAGCTGACTGGTGCTTAACTGGTAACAGCCAAATACTTAACATTGAAAAACAATCCAGTCAGGCCTGTAAAATAAGAACCATGAAGAGGATATAAGCAGGATAAAAGTGAGGTTAAGACTTTTAGCAGACAGCCTGTAAAGAGGAGTCTTTAGACAGCTCAAGAAGAGGGTTCAGAGGACCTCCACAGATGTGTCACAGACCTTCACAGACTCTGCAGACCTTCATAGACTTCCAGACCTCCTCAGACCTTTGCAGAGACCTTATTGCTGCATCTGCCTCTGCCTTGGCAGTGATTTGGCCTGCAAAGAGCACCACAGGCTTAGGCCCAGTGTCTCAAAGAGCTATTTTCTGTTGAATTATGCCAACAGCACACAAAGAGCTGTAATGCTGGTGTCTCTGGCACTGCCTCCTGGTGACCAGCGCTGACTGGCACTACTGATCAGCACTCTGTGTCTGGCCACCTCTGAGAGTTGTCCACTACTTCTGGATCATTGAGCAATACCTCCTAATGCCGTGAAGGCTGGCATAGTCTCAACCAGAATCTGTTGTGTTCAGCCCAACCTTTGACCATTGCTGTATGCTGCTGCAGGTCACCTCAGCAGCCCCACCAGTGATCCCCTTTAGCAGCCACTGTAAAATGGTGCCTGGTACACAGCTTACAGTATACCACCAACTCCCTCATTGACAAAGACAGTACCATCTTGCATAAGTGGCTTTGTTTTGGGCTTTGTGTTGAACACTGTGGACACTACCTAGGGTGAAACAACTTTTGCAAATAAACCCCACAGGTGCACACTTAGCCTGAAATGATCCTGCAATTGTGAGCACATGGGTGAGAACCTATAGTGACCTGTCCCCCAATTTGGCACTGTTTTTTTAAAGGTACACAATTTTATCTTAAAAACTTAAGTTGTAATGTCTCTGGCAAGCCTATATGCTGCAGATTTCAATCTTGTATTCGGTATAGAACCCAACTGTATATTATGGTCACATAAAGTACATGCTCCATCATGCCCATGAAGGGGAGAAGTCAAAAAGACAATTAGTGTTTGTATAAACTACAAATCAAGGTTCTGCCATAAAGAACCAATTTTTTTAAAACCAGATTCCTACAGTACTGTGAAGGGACAGTCCAGTCAAACTTGTAAAATAAGAACCATGAAGAGGATATAAGCAGGATAAAAGTGAGGTTAAGACATTTAGCAGACAGCCTGTGAAGAGGAGTCTTTAGACAGCTCAAGAAGAGGGTTCAGAGGACCTCCACAGATGTGTCACAGACCTTCACAGACTCTGCAGACCTTCACAGACTTCCAGATCTCCTCAGACCTTTACAGAGACCTTATTGCTGCATCTGCCTCTGCCTTGGCAGTGATTTGACCTACAAAGAGCACCACAGGCCTAGGCCCAGTGTCTCAAAGAGCTATTATCCACAATAACTGCCAGGCACTCAACTGTCTCCAAACTTTTCAAATATAAACTTTTTTCCCAGGAAGAAATCTTACACAGAATCCTGTGCGGAACAGACTGGGTGAGAGGGAGCACAGAGGTGGAACCCAGCTTGCTGAACCTCCCCAACATCACCTTAACCTGCACGCTTTTAGTGTGTGCACCAATGCAGTGTTTATCACTCAGTATCTGTGTGCAAAGAAAGCAGGGTAGCTGCTCCCAGGCCAAGTGAGGCACCTCAGACAATGCACTCCTCTGTCACAGAAATGGAGCAAGCCACAGAAGCAGATCAAGGCAAGTCAGAAACAGCCAGAACAAGGAAGCCACAGACCCAATCACAGAGGCAGGAAGAAATGGAAAAGCTGACAGAGAGAAGGGAAGGCAGAGAGAGGGAGAGAGGCAGAATGCAGAATTAAGAGAATGAACATGACTTAAACATGGAATGGACATGAGAAAGCAAGACAGTGAAGAGGATGTGAGGAGAGCAGGAATGAGGGAGCCAAGGGGGAGAATAAGCAAGCAAAGGAGCAAGTGGGTATGAAGATATGAGAGATATGAGAGAGCAAACATATACTACATTTAGGTGATTCAAATTTAATCAAAACCATTCTGCCTCTCATTATTTTAAAATGTCTTAACCTACCTGAATTATCTCTGATTGTTCAGCGAGAGCCTTCCTTTGTGCCTCCAGAGATGATACCTGTTGCTGATAAATCAAGCGTTGCTTCTCCCAGTCCAGTGATTTCTGACGAAATTCCTGAAGAAGCAATTAAGGTACTTAACTTCTAAGTGCTTCCCCTTGCTGTACTACTTTGAGATTCACTTTTTACTTTAATTTTTCTCCAAGTCCCTGGGTACACTGGCACCTTTCTCCACAGCAGGAGCCCCATTACCCACTTAGCTGACAGAGCTATAGAGGTACACTGGATTCCTTACATACTGTGCCTCCAGATACCTAACTTTAACACCCTAATGGTGAAGCATATGAAACAAAGATGCTAAATACTGGGTCCATGATGATTCTCATAGATTTGCTGCCACCTAAAGGTTGTTAAATATTCTAGTCATTTTTTTTTTTAAGAAAATTGATGCTGAGGTAATTGAAATTTTAATATAGGATTATAGATATCTCTCATCATTCAACTTCTTGATATTCCAACTCAGGAAGCAAATAAATGTTCAGCAAAGCCCCTTGCTTGTCCAATTCTTACTTTTCAGTTTCTAAAACTCAGAAACCAAGAGAATATCAGGACCTTTGTTTGAGATAGTTTCAAACATCAAACTGGAGATGGGAGATAAAAGGTAGGAAATTATTTCTGTAGCAAAGAGGAGGATACTGAAATCCTGAAGAATCATGGTGAATTATGTTGAGGCGAGAGAAACAATGAACTGGGAACTAAAATGTGAGGAGGAAGTAACTCAGGGATCAGAAAACAGTGACTATCGTTGTATGTACACTGGTTGGTGGTTTAGGCTGATGAATGAAATCAAAGATGGAGTTTTGAGGTAGAATGAAAAGCAAAGCAAAAAGATGAAGGGTTTGGGGATAAACACCCAGGTATCACTGAAGAGGGCTGGTGGAAAAACAGTAGATGTGTAGAGCTCTGGTTCTAAATTCTTCAAATGTACAGAAGTATGCAGATGTCAAAGAATACTGAACACAGAAATAACAATCTAGACTGCGATTATATATCGGCATTTGTGGGAAATAGGTCCTTCTGTGTAAAAACATCATAAGTAATCATACAAAGATGTTGAACAATGCTTATTGAATTCAGCTTGGGAGGCTACATAAATGCAGGTTCTTCAGCCCCATGGCATGCTACTGGGTGCCCTACTGCTCAGAGTCCAGAGAGGACTCTAGGAGAATCAGGCACACTGTGGCACAGACACAAGAGGGGAGTGGTATGCTCAGAGGGAAAAGTGGGACAACTGTATGATGCTCCTCCTCCTCCTCTTGGCTGTGTGGACCCAACACCTCCCCTTAAGTCCATAAGATAATCAGTACATGTAACATTCCTGGAGTTACTCTCAGTAAAAACAAAGTCAGCAAAGAACAACGCAAGCGGCTTAGTATACATAAGTGAGAACTAAGGGTCACAAACTGGTATGCAGACTTCTCTGTACAAATGGCCAGGAAATTTCAACTCTACTAAGCCCCTATTCTGTAAGGAATAAATAAGACAAGGACACTGCCCACAGAGAACTACTAGTAACTGGTGACCACTATTTCTCAGTATTGGCATTTGGAACACATTAATCCTTCCTATATAGACAATCCTAGGCAGGCTTAGCATGCTGGTCCCTAGTGCCTAGACCAGTTTTACTACCAATCATTAAAAAAAAAATCTCCACTTAGTTCTAAAAGCCCTCTAAGGGTAATATTCCCCTGTTGAGAACCATTGATACCTAGTAACCCATCGACACCATGGACCAGGAGATGACATGTTGTACAGGAGATTGGTCTCCTACCTTTGAAATAACTCAGAGGTAGTCCTGGAGATGGCAGAAATTGGTGTAGGAAATAGCACTATTACAAAGAGCATTTTCTTACATGAAGGCTAACAATCACTAGGAACAAATTATTACTATGACCATACCTCTATTTTTCCAGTTAACCTCTCAATTTCAGACCGATCTTCCCTGTGATTTTTGGTGTTTCCTCTGAAGTCCCTTATATGCTTTTTCTGTAGCTTTTCATAGCTTTTCTTCAATCTGCCTAACTGTAGACATAGATATTTCCAGACTTAAAATTTAAGAATTCATAAACAGTGATAGGAGAACAAATTGATATTATGAAAGCAAGAACACTGCTAAATAGTACCAGTGAAAGAGAACAAGATTAAGTTAATTTGCAAAATAAAATGCAATTCAAAACTACATGTAAAAAATAAGCACTAGAAAACAAATATATTGAGTCAAAGAAAAAAAGGAGGGGAAAAACAGAATTTAGAACAAAAAGTCTGAAACAAAGTTTTAAACAAAACCTTAATTTTCATTACAACTGTCCATTTCGTGGACAGCGACACAGCCCACAGCAGGAAAGGAATACTTTGGAATAAAATAAAACTAAATGCAGTTAAGGGAAGTGCACTGGACTATGGTGATGGCACATGGGTGACTTGGTGATGGGAAACCCACGGGGATTACAATTGAGATAAAAAAAAAATGTACAAAATGATATAAAAATAAACTTATAAAATACAGTTATTTTTTCCAGACTGAAGACTAAATTAAGTTAATGGACATAACTTTTTATTTATGCCAAAATATTTCTAATATTTTTCAATCCTCCAATATTTAAAATCTAGAACCAATTTACCTCTTTTTTTTTTTTTTAAAGATTTATTTGTTTATTCATACAGAACTGGGGTATAGGCCAGAGATGTGGAGGGTGAGAGAACCCACCAGAGACAGAGTGGGGAGCAGAGCAGGGAGATCGATGAAGTACACTGCTGAGGGGAGCAGCGGGCGGGTCAGGAGGGGTCTGCCACACCATGTGGATCACCTCCGGGGTGGGGATCGAACTCATGCGGAAGTGGTTTAAGGTTCTTAGTACTGTGCTTTAACCCGCTGCGCCAACAGGAGGGCCCCGATTTACCTCTTAATTAAAATATTTGCTATTAAGTTTTGGTATTAATAATTCACAGTACTATATGAAAAACAGCTCTATTTCTTTCAGGTCCTCAGCCAAGAAACACATTTTATAATCCCTGCACTAGGTATAAACATATAATTAGGCAAGATTCTTTGCCTGGATTTAAGAATAGAGAAAGAGATTTCCATCCCTGATCCCTCCCATGTAATATATTCTTCCCACTCTACAAAGTTGAAATGGGTACCCTAACAAATCTGCAAGGATTAGAGAAAGAATTATACAACACATAATAAAATTAAAATCTCACTTCTTCATGTAGCTTCTTTAACTCCTGCTTGTACTCTATGGCCATCTCTTGCTTAATTTTTTCTTGTTCTCCTAATTGCTGATGCAGCATTCCAACCTAGAAACAGAAATGGTAGAATTTTTTATTATTAGCAGTGAAACAATATCCCTGAAACATAAGAATAGTAAATAATCTTTGTACTTATCTGTAAATACAAGTTTTTAAAAGCACAAAGTAGCTCACTTTTCAGGAAGTGAATTATCTACTTATTTAGTAATCTATTATACTACCAGAGGACAAATAATGGTTTATAATTTCAAGATTTAAGTGAAAACTGGCTCTCACTGACTGATTTATTTTCCTCAATTCTTTATACTAAACACCTCATGAAAAACCTAAGATTAAAAAGTCGTATGAGGCTCTCCCTGGTGGCACAGCGGGTTAAAGCACAGCACTAAGAAGCTAAAGCCACTTCAGCATGAGTTCGATTCCCGCCTGCCCCGGAGGTGACCACATGGCCTGGCAGACCTCTCCTGACCCACCCGCTGCTCCCCTCAGCAGTGTACTTTGTCGATCTGCCTGTTATGCTCCCCACTCTGGCTCTGATGAAACCTCTCAGCCTCCGCATCTCTGGCCTGTACCCCAGTTCTGTACGAATAAATAAATATATCTTTTTAAAAAAAAAAAGTTGCATGAACCTTGCAATTGTAATATTAAACCAAAATGTGACTTCAAGAGTCAGTTCAATAGATCAAAGTGCGAAACAGTGATAAAAGGTGGAAAGACAGTAGTAGTCCTGTACTACTTTACCATTTACCTCATTTCAGAGAAACCATTTCTACTAACCAGAGTCAGGACTGTGTCCTAACCCATTTCTCAGTGATTTGATACCAGCCACAGCTAGTTCAGGTCAAGTCCTCACCTCCATCAGTGTCCATCAGTGTTTCTCCAAACATCTCCATAACCAGCTATAATTTCATCATTGATGAGTAAGGGGGAAAAGGATGGGAAATAGGAGGAAGTAATCTCAATCACAATAAAAAAAATGGTAATTTTTTTATTACAAAAGTTTATTTTTGCATAATTTGTACATTTTTTTCCCCATCTCGATTATAATCCCCGCGGGTTTCCCATCACCAAATCACCCGTGTGCCATCACCATAATCCCGTGCATTTCTCTCCCCCCATCCCCCGTAAAAATGGTAATTTTTTAAAAAGCAGAAATAAACTTGTAAAACAAGGAGCTAATGCAATTCCAATTAATTATTCTGGTAGGCTTTTTTTTTTTTATTTGAAAAAGTGATTCTGAAGTTCAAGTTAGCAGAATGATTATAATTGGGAAACAGGAAAAGAAAACTACTTTAAAAAAATCTAAGTGAAGATTTACTGTATTTGTGGGTAGGAGGAAAATTCTAAGCTTAAAACTAATAAAAAGTCACTTAAGATGATAAACTATGTAAAAATGCAAAACTTCTATTTTAAAAATTCCATTATAGTTAAACAGTAAATAAACTTAGAAAAACATTCACAGAAATGCATGAAAAGGTTTTTAATTTCTAGGTGTCTTTTTCTAACCTGTTTCCACTATATCCAGAGAATATACTCTATGATTTTGAGTATTTGAACTAAGTCGATATTTATTTTATGATGAGCCTATGAACAATTTTGGATACAGCTTTGTTTGTGACAGAAAAAGCACGTGCATTCCCACAGCCCTATTGAATGATGCTCTGTATGTATAAATCAGGTCAAATTTGGAATTTTTTCATATCTATATTTTTACTATCATTATCACTTTTTTCACTAAGAAAGGAGAGTTAAACCCCCAACTTTTTTAGCATTTCATTTGTTCTCCTTTTAGTTTGACCACTTTTTACATGGAGATGAACAGAAATTCCTTTGAAAACTATTTTTTTAGGTACTTAACAAATTTAGATTTCATTTTGGTTGAAGTGTCCTGGAATGGATACACTGAGGCATAGAGCTTATAATTGGACATAATCACAGGAAGCATGAGTGACCCAGGGAAGGGTGCTGTAACAGCTGTTTTGCAGTAAGCAGCTAAATTCCACTGGAAATTCACCAAGGAGTCAAATAAAAGGTATTACAGAATTCCCCCTCAAAAGGATGACAAAATGCAGAATTTTTCCATCAATTCTAGTCCTATGGCTTGAGGCTTGCTCTGCAATTTCAGGGTTTTTTGTTTTTGCTTTTTGGAGAGGGTGCAGCAAGAAAGACTGAGAGGGGAAAAAAGGTCAGGGAGTAAGGCAGGAAAGTGCGGCGGGTGCTGGCAGTATTCAGGAAGCTGTATGTCATACAGGATGAAATCAGTGAGCAAAGAAGATAAGGTGCCCGCCACCACCGAGACCGAGATGCAAGTTTCATATGTAACGTTTCTCTGTTCACCTTCAGTTATGTTCATTGACTGCTTCAGGTATACTTTTTCAAATGTGAATATAGGTACACCATCTTTTTTTTTTTTTTTTCTTAAGATTTATTTACTTATTCATACGGAACTGGGGTACAGGCCAGAGGCTCAGGGGCGGTGAGAGGCTTCACCAGAGGCAGAGTGGGGAACAGAACAGGCAGATCAACGAAGTACACTGCTGAGGGGAGCAGCGGGCAGGCCAGGAGAGGTCTGCCACACCATGTGGTCACCTCCGGGGCAGGCGGGAATCGAACTCATGCGGAAGCGGTTTTGGCTTCTCAGTGCTGTGCTTTAACCCCCTGCGCCACCAGGGAGGGCTGGTACACCATCTTTTTATGCAGAGTGTCTGTGTGGCATATATTTTTATTTTAGCATTTACTTCTCACTTGGCTATATCTTTATAAAAACCAAATAGCTGGGTTTAATTATTGTTGCCTAGTTGGATAACTGTTATCTTTCAACTAAGCTTTTTAATATATTTACACATGACAGCCTTGTTTGGACTTACATCTACCTCTTATAAAGTGCTACTGATGGAAGCTCAGTAGAAAAGTTTAGATGAAAGTCCCACAAGGGCAAAAGCCAGTGATGGGTGTAAGGATGACTAACCAGTTGTCAAACCAGTTATAGAATCTTCCAGTGCTCTAAGGCAGAATCAAAAAAAGAATATCTGTTACAAAAGACCAACACAACCTAATCCCAAGAGATAAAATTCCACTTACAAATGAATCTCTCCCAAAGAACCCTATAAAAGAACATCCCTTGCCCTGAAAAAAAACATAGGTCCCCAAGACTGCCTGCATCTGTGCAGTGTCTTGTTCTTAAACTTGACGCTTTCAAAGGCAGCACTTTGCTTGCCTGTATCTATGCCAGCATATCTTTTTCTTAATTAACCTTAAAATGTGGCCTTGGCCTGTCTGTATCTATGCAAGCATCTTTCTTCCTTACTAATCTTGCCATGTACCACTGAATGGGAAACTCTGCTGAATGTTTTCTTGGAGGGAACCTAAAGATCTCACTCACTGAACCCCCCAACAAATGAACCCCATCATTATTTTTTCTTTTTATATGTATTTTACATCATTGTTCTTTTTTTTAAGATTGATTTATTTATACATATAGAACTGGGGCACAGGCCAGAGGTGCAGGGGTGGTGAGAGGCTTCACCATAGACAGTGGGGAGCAGAAGAGGCAGACTGACAAAGTACACAGCTGAGGGGAGCAGTGGGTGGGTCAGGAGAGGTCTGCTGTGCCATGTGGAGTGGGGATCGAACTCATGCTGAAGTGGCTTTAGCTGCTTAGTGCTGTGCTTTAAACTGCTGTGCCACCAGGGAGGGCACTCCTTGTTTATTTTTAAACAATGTTTGTTGTTCTTCCCCAACCCCTTCCCCACTCTCAGTTTCCTCCCCCAATTCACCTGTGCACCATCACCACAATTCCCTATGCTCCTCCCTCTCTCCCACCTCACTCTCTTCCCCTCCCCCACAGGATGTCTCTGGTTATAATTGTTTGTTTTGTTTAGTTTTATACTGTTATTATTTTCCCTGATGTCTTATTTGGTTACTCTATATTCCTACTATAAGTGAGACCATCTATTATTTTTCTTTTGTCTTCTGACTTATTTCACTGAACATGACCCTTTCTAACTCCATCCATGTTACTGCAAATGGCAAGAGTTTATCTTTTTTGATTCCTGACTAGTATTCCATTGTGTACATACAGACACCACATCTTCTTGGTCAAGTCATCTATTTTTGGGCATTTGGATTGTTTCCAGGTTTTACCTATTGTAAACAGTGTTGTAATAAACATAGGTGTACAGGTATCCTTTTGAATCAATGTTTTTGTGTCCTTTGCATAGAGCCCTATAATATACTCAAAACTCTATGCTCCTTTACACTCTTTTCTTGTCTTCTTTGGGAAAAGTTTTCTCCCATTAGCCTGGAAGATATACACTCTATGTACTTGTAATGTTTCTCTCAACATAGAAATATGGATCTAACTTAAGTCCAGAGTCAATTAGTATTTTTATCAACTGACAGGCAACCCAAGGACTATAGAAATACTTCAACTCCATTTACTAGTCCATTTCAAATACCAGCAAAATTTTACATGTAAGTGTAACTTGTAAGGCCACTGTTTATATAGAGTCAACAGTCACTTAGATTTATACCACATTTACTATTGTTTTTTATTTCTTCCTATTTGCTTGGCTCAAGTCTTCTAAGAACAAATTCTTTCATTTTTTTTTTTTGATCCAAATGTCTTTTTAATTCATTTTTATTCTGGGTATATTGTGCTGGATGGGCAAGGGGGAAAAGGCAATAGATAGTCTGTTGTCCTCTAGCTTTCACTGTTTTATCGACTTTAGGATCTATTTATAGATAAAATGATTTTTTGAAATTGGTGTATAATCTTTTGTTCCCTTTGTTTTGTCTGTATTTTTGAACCTAAGTAAAATTTCTTTTTATTATTTATCTTGCCTGAGGTTTTTGCACATCTTAAATACTTGGTCGTCTTCACTTTTGTAAAATCTCAGTTAACTTCAAATATTGTTTCTGCCCATTCTCACTTTTTTACTACTTTAGGGTTTCCAAAAACATTTCAGACTTTCTCACTGTGTTATCAATTTCTTATTCTCTTTCATATTTCTTGTCATTTTGTCTGTACGCTGAACATTTTTTTCTGT